GACATCTCTCCCCAAAAAACAATTATTATTTGGAAAACAGGCATCCAGTCTACAGTCCACAGAAAATTTGTACTACTTTTTTTTAACCAAATATAGCTTTACAAAGGCTATGTTTAAATAATTTCTAAATACATAGTTAATGAGTCATGGTATTCTGATCTAACCAATTGTCTAGTTTTGCACAGCACATTGTACCACTAACTAATCAACAGCAAAGCCCATAAGCTAGCTAACTACATTTTGGCCTAACAGGCCATATAAACTCAGACACTACATTACTACATCACTGCTTCTTTATTGCTGGTAAATTCCATCTCAGAGAACCCAGCGTACTCCAGGGAGGTCTAGTCATAAGATTATTTTGTAGCTGCATACATGAACCGTTCTTGCTCTAGTTCTTTATAATTTTATTGGAAGGTGACCTCCTACTTTAGATTTCTCAGATAAGAAATAAATGCAATCATAAATCAGTTAGAATGCCATTACATCACCACCCACACACCATTGATAGTGATGGAGGCAGTCAAATCAGTGTGCCAATTTTATCAGAAACTACCCAAAATGGTAAGTCTGGTACCACACTCTCTTCCTTACAGGTGTTCCTGCCCAGGCTCACATCTGATCCTCCATCTACCATGTCTCACATAATTTCTTTCCCACCAGCCTTCCCCAGCTATTGGGGAAATGACACTCAAAAATGTGTAACTCCCTTCAACTCAAACTTTGAGCACTCCAGGTGTACAGATGAGAAAGTTTTTCTCATATACTGTATATTCTAATGTCAGGCACACATTTAAGTAAGAATAGGAAAGAAAATGCTTCCCACAAAGTTATTAAAGCTAAGTTCTACTAGAAAGCAAATCCTACGTTGAAAATACAATTGGCTTCTAACATTTCTCGAGACTGGTGAAAATAAAGTTCTTCTGAATCCTAGGCTAGTTTATTAAGAGCGCACTTTCCAAAATAAAACAACTTGAGTGTCGTTACAGAAAGTTAAGTATGTACCCTAGACTAAAAAGGAAGAATGAATTCCTGCCTACTTTTTTCCTATTGAACGCTAGCTGCCTCTGGGAACACAAAGCAAATTGCAACACATGAACTTTAAGGCAAGTAGTTCTAGTGCTCCTTCACTTCAACAAGAGGCCAAAACATTCCATTCAGTAGCACTTTCCAATCAAAGATATTTTTGAAATCAAAAAGATTTGCCATATCACTAAAGTAAGCGTAGATTTACAATGGCTTAAAACAAAGCTAGAATCAGCCCAACATCCACCCATGGTGGAAAAAAGGGGAGCAGAAACTCTCTCATGTATCCCGGAAGCAATCTTTCTCCAATATGGCACCTCATAAACTACTGCAGGGAATTCCCATGTGCATTTTTGTTTCCTGCATTAGGGCAGCACTGACTCATTTCTTTCCAGAATTTAAGATAATACCACATAAATCTGCAAGCTATCCTCATTCAGTACTTTGGCAAGTTCGGAGAGTGACACAAAATGCTGAAATGTTCTCTGTAGTTGAGAAAAAAGGCCACTGGATTAAGTCAGTGAAATAGTATATCCAACAGAAGCAAAAATCAGCATATTTTCAAAAAGTACTTCAAGCACATTTATGTGTTCTTCAATTCTATCTTAAGACCAATAGTTGGAATATTTTAAATAAAAAAACTAACTCACAGGGGTTAAATTCAAATTTTTTCCCTCCCAGCTCTGTGGGTGTGGCCCATTATTAGCAAGGGTGTGTGTGTGTGTGATTTTTTTACTGATTCAAATCGTCCCTACCACCTCTCCCAGCCGAGCAGAGATGGTTGAATTTCAGCCCTGCTACGGAATCATATCCAAAAGTAAAATAATTCTTTTCTCCTACCAAACAAACAAACAAAAAAAAAACCATGACAAAGTTTTACACATGGGGGAACAATCACAATTGCATAAGTATATAACAGAACAATATTTATGCTATAATTCTGTGAGTTAATTTACTGTTTTGTAATTAATGCCAAAAAAACAAAAACTATGTCAACTGCTGTTCAAATATTCCACTATCAACACTTAGGCTTTTTGAACAATGTAGATCTCATGCTATCTTGAGCAATGTTTGGAAAAGACAGATTTTATTTTATTATTTTTTTTGGTCTCAAATTAGTAGTAATATATTTACTGGCAACCATAGGTTTTAGTATCAAATTATTTTGGGGGGTTTATAGTCATATTTTAAAAAGTAACTAGGAATTATGTAAGTAATTTCCAAACAGGCATTTTTTACATTATTAATCACCAAACAGAATGACAATTTCATCTTTAAGTTATGAAGTACAATGATGTGCACATGGCATAATATACCAATGATCACTAGGACTATTCCTTTACTATCAATTGTTTAAATCAAGGCAAATGCACACAATTTTGGAGAGAGGGGAGTGGGGTAACAGGTTTTGTATTAAAATATTATGAAGGTCAAAGTCAAAGGTTATGTATTAAAATATTACGAAGGTCAAATTTATCACTCAGATATTGAGAAAAATTGATTGACATATAGTAATTCTTTGTACATATGGTAATTAAATATTGCCTAGTCTCTTTTGCATGTTGTAACTATTATCAAACTTTGCTAGAGAGTTAACTATTATCAAAGTAATCAGAAATATAATACTGCTCTATCAAACATAAAAGTGTAGCTCTATAGAATTGTTTGTTGCCTTCATCACAGTAGGTGGCAGCAACTAGCCAACCTTGCCTGGTTTTGAAAATGCAAAGCAAGATTGAACCTGGTTAGGACACAAGAAAATTGCAGGGTATATTAGATTCAAAAAAAAGAATAAACTTTTCAGAAGAATGCAATAACAAAACATACATACACTAAGAATGAAATGTATTGTAGCTATGCTGCTGTTAATATAATCCTATTTGTTAAACAGTTGTTTCCAAAACTTTGTAAACAGAGGTTTAGTTACATTTCCCAAACTTTAATAACAAGCAAGCTGACATTAACTTCAAATATATAAAATTATACATGACCTCATAAAAGGATAATTATATAATATATTGGAATTTGAAGTCATTCAGCTAACAAATTAATGAATTGATTTTAAAATTATTTTATTTCAGTTGAATATGTAAGTACTGTATGGCACCAAATTTCCAGGCAGCAACTTTATATATTAAACAATATTAGTCTCCACACATAGCAACTGCATGAATCAGACAGTATGAGCCTGTGCTAAGGTCTGCAGTTTTCACTGAAATGGCAAAGTACCTGAACCTATTTTTCATCTGGTGACTAAGTTAGAAATCTCTCTATGCAAGCAGTAACTAATTATACAGTTGTTACTTGCAGTCAATTGTAACACACCTATCCTTGAGGGGAAAAACTATATTTGCAGGATTATGTTAATCTAAGAATCTATGCTGGTTCATTAGTTTTTCTCAAAAAGGGAACATGCTTATTTTATCACCCCAATTTTTCACTTACATAACTTAAAGGGTAGTATTAGCAAAAATGCTCAGAAATAAATATCAGAAAAATGTTTTACCATTTGCAAAAGCTATTCCATAAATCCTGAATTACACTGCAGTATAAGCAGGTTTATATATACTCAAGGATTATTTGTGGCCAGTTCAGGTATTAATTATACACATGGAAGTATTCCAGATAAACACAACTATGATGCTATTTTTCTCAAATGTGCCAGCAAGTTAGACTGCATGTTGCTAAATACAGTTACCCTTGCAGAAATGAATTACATTCCACAACTTTTTAAACACTGCATGAAAGTATTCATTTTAATCTATGCCACTTAGGTATGTGATCTAAAGTGTGTAAAAGACAGGATACAAGCATTAAATTATATACTGAAAGAAAATACAAAAATGCAAAGTTCAACCAATCCATTTTTGTTAAATAGCATATAAACTCTTCTACTGGAAGAGATTACTGTAGCAATCAAGGTTTGAAATTACAATGTTACTCTACATTGAAAAGAAAACCAATGTGCGCTTGACAAGTTACTGTGCAATTTGAAGGATGGTTTTCTCTCAATACTTTTAAGCATCAAGACCATAACTTTAAAAGCTTCAACAACAATGGAAAAGTGACAAATGCCCACAACCTTGTGTTAAAAAAAAACCTTGTTCCAGTCACACAATGCAGCATGAGCAAGTAATGTCAGATAGGGATAAGTCAGCATCTCAAAGCATATGTACCTATGTTTGATTTTTATTCTAAATGTACCATTTCTTTTAGCAGCATATGAGCAAGAAAATCAGCTGCAATGTTCTTCCAGGTGTTCTTTCTCTCTCTCTCTCTCTCTCTCTCCATACACATATACATATACACATACATACATACATACATACATACATACATACATACATACATATCTTCAATCATTTTCCCGTTTCTATGATGGCTTTGGCACGACTTAGCTATGCATGCAGAACCCTACCAGATGTGAAGAAAAGCTGATCTAGCAGGCCTATTTCACCGCCTTTTTAATCAACACCCCCCCCCCAAGTAAAAAGCTCGCTGAGAGAAGAGATAGAATGAATCTCCATCCGACTTAATAATGGGGTAAGCAAAGCTGCAGGCTCCAACTTTCAAGCTTCGTCTTGCCCCGTCACTCCTTCCTTCCTCCTTCCTTCCCTGCCTTGTCTAACGCAGAGTTAACGAGGAAGTCAAGTTGGGCGGGCGAAAGCCGAGCCCATTGCAATGCCTGCCACAAGATTGCCAGCCAGTGACTCAGATCGCCGACCTGACAGCAGCTGCCACCCCATTAAGCGCCCTTTCTCTCCGCTATTTCCCCCCCCCCCCAAAAGGGCCTTCCAAGCAACTTAAGGGGGGAGCGTCGCAAAGCCTCCCCCCACGATCCGTTAAGGTGCGGGGACCAATTGCAAGCGCGGACGCGAGAAGCAGATTTAACCGTTCCCAAGAAAGCCTTTTTAAAAAATCTAGTCGTTTGAAAAGAGAGTAAGAGAAAGGTAAGGGGGGGGGGGAGAAATCACCTGACCGGCTGCTTTTTCTCAGCCCACCTTCAGTTTAAAATTCTTTGTCCGGTGGGAAGGGTGAAGTCGGAGCAAGGCAAGACTAGCATCAGAGAAAGAAAACGTGGGAGCAACCGGTCCCTTGGCCCTGCGCGTGGAAGAGGCTTCCTTAGCCCCAGGCAGAGGTGAAAGGCTACACCTTCCCCAAAAGGCAACGTCCACAATGGGTGGCACTTCCCGGACTCCAGCACGCTTGGCATAAAAAGGAAATGTAGAAGTTAAGCCACACCCGCCCGCCTCTCAATGAACCTTTCACCCGCGGGCGCCAAACTGAAAATCATGCGCCGTATTGTACGTTTCCCGTCCTTTCCCGCACCAATTCCAAGCTGGGACTTCACCTGAGTCCGGCCAAAAGCTTTAAGACGAGACGACGCGACTCCTTTTTCTTACGCCAGGAAGACTAGAGTTGATAACTAATACCTTCTCGGAGAGCCCCAGCGCCCCACCCGCTGCGTTGTTCCAGCTTCAACGCCTCTAACTCACCGGCAGCAGCGAGGTTTCAAGCCGGGAGGGAGCGGCCACCGCTAAGGTCTGAAACATCCACTTGCGGCATCCTCAGCCAATAAGAACAGGAGTTTGCTCTGACAGAGAGCCAGTTTCCGCCAATGGAGACTCAAGTAGAGGGTGGTGTTTCAAAGGAGGCGTAAGACTTTTTTTTAATCTTCTCAACTGACGCCCTAGCTCCCGCTCCTCAATTAGCCTCCCTCCCCCCCCTCCACCCCGCCTCCAGAAATGGCCACAGCCAATAGACTCGCATTCGAGAAAGAGCAAAGAGTGGCATCTTGGAGAACCAATGCATTTTGGAGAAAGAGGGCGGTTCTTCGAAGGTCAATCTTTAGTGCTTCGGTGATTGTTTGAGGCGTGGCCACCAGTAGCACAGTGGTGGGAAATGACTGCAGAGGGAACAAACGGCTGTCATCCATGTTTAGCTCAACTCACCTTCTTGCCTGCTCAAATTCTATCCAGGCTTACTCAGAAGAAAGCCCCATTGTTTTAATGTGGCAAATAAGCGTAAGGACGATTGCTGCTTTAAACAACATAAAAAGCCATTTATTCATTTAGATACATTAAATTACACCTGATATTTACACTGGATTTTAATCTTCGTTTAATCCCATGTGCTCTGTCTGGAAGTCTTGGTCTTCTCTTTGATAGGTGTATTAAACACAGTCCTTCCTCGCTTCTTTAAAAAAAAAAGATGGATATCGCATAATGCCTTCTCTCGTTTGGGTGGTTTTATGTTTTTTTCTTACTCACTTTCATATAGTATTTGACAGCAACAGTACTCACCTTTGCTTGGAAAAAGTAATTTAAGTCACTAAACTAGCTTCCTTTTTTTCTGTAAGATTCCATATACATTTCTCATTCTTCCTTAAAACTTTTTAGAGAACTTACAGTAGTTTGCTCATTTTATTTTTGTGATCTTTTATTCACATTTGTATCCTGCTGCAGTCTAGAGATACCTATACTGTATACTAAAACATTTTGTGTGTCAGTCTATCGCTCTCTTCTGTCCCTTTTCAGCCACTTGGTGTCTAGTTTTGATTTTCCAAACACCTGTTTCCATTTCCCTTATTTCAACTTCTTCCTGAAGAGCCATGTTTTTCTGGAAAGGCTTTACAAGAAACCCCAACACTATACCAAAGGATGTTTAATGAAAATAATTGGATGTTCTTCACATTATTTTTCCCTATTATTTCCCTCCTTTTTTCCAGAACCTGTTATTTAGCTATTAACACTAAACAATCCAGTCAAGGTCTATTTTTAGGTGAACTATACATTGTTAATCCAGCATTGGGGATATTCATAATAGAACATGGTAGAGATTGGTGTCTTTATGGTCTCTAGAATTTGATGATAAAAAATTGCCAATGCCTCTGAATCCCCTAGAGTCCTGTTAATGAATTCATGGATGGACTTCAACTCCCAGAATTCCCCAGCCATCTATGCTATGTTTTAGTTTATAAAAGTTGCAAAGTTTAGTTTAGTTATGCTGCAAAGAGTTAGGCATGAGGAGTGAAGAGGTACCATCGATATCATTTACAAAGTTATGAAATTTAAGTGGAGTGTTTAGAGATATTTTTAAAAGTCTAATTCTCAAAATTAGAGAGAAACAAATGTAAAAAAATAAAAAAAAACAGGATAGGAATGATCTATGTCCATTGTAAATATCCAGATGTTGATAACCCAAATGTAACAGAACAAATAATTAAATGCTATAGAGCAGCAGTCCCTAACTCTTCTGGCTCAGAAGAAAATCTGTCTTCCACAGAGGATGGGGAGGATGATTTAAGGGGAACCTAAATCCTATGCATGGATAAGTGAAGCTTTGCTTGCTCATCTGCTGCTTGTGCAGCCCGGTTTCCAACAAGCTGCAGGCTGGTACCAGTCCAAGGCCCAGGTACTGTAGGAGTATCAGGTACTGTAACAAGGGGTTAAAAAAAAAGTCAAGATACTGCTTCTCACTGCATTTTTGACACATATCCCTATAGATGCCCCTGAAATTATGCACAGGGGCCTTCCCAAGATAGCTGAACTCTCTATAAATATGGAATTTGTTATCACCATATTTGGTGAGGTACCAGGTTGTGAGGGAGGGGGGTTACTATTGTGAAACCTGAAAAAGGAATCAGAGAATAAAACAATAGGCATTGTTTTATATGGCAGGCTTTCCTAACTCAGTATTCTCCAAATTACTCCAGCTACCATTATAATAACAGGATTAATGGAATTTGGAATCTGACAATGGTGCAAGACCACATTTTGCGGAAGACTGAAGTATAACACCATATTATTCAGTTGAGTTGTGCAGAGGAGTTTTATAAAACAAGCAGGGGAAGGAAAGATTGAGGAAAGACAATAAGAATTTTGAAAGTAATTTGAAGTGTATAATTGGACATAAAGGAAGAGTCATAATGACCTGAAGGAAATAACTGGAATTCTGGAATATTATTTAGCAAGAAGAAAATAATATTATTAAATGCTACCACTGCAAATAATTCTGCTTCTTTGAATTGACAAATATTGATTTACATTTATTTTACATAGGAGATAATTTATACTTTTCAGAGTTTGTTTCCATCACATGGTATGAAGAGTCATGAGGGGCAACCATTGTACAGCAAATTCAGTCCAAAAAGCAATTTGTTTAACCCATTCTGCTGTCATATTTATGACAAATTTGTTTTCACGGGTGTTGCAGGCAAATAGATTGTCTGTATAATATTGGTTTTAGCTGGTTAGGGCTTTAACAGGATGCAAGTTTAAGTTTTTCTTTCCCAGTATTGTTGCTGTAATATATGTTATTTGCATTGCTGAGACAAAGTAGCGGGTAAAAAATGCAAGAAAGCTTAGAGGCTGAATAAAATGGAAGAGTTTGCAAGGCCAGAATAATCTACAGTATTTGCATCGGAGAAAGAAATGATTGGTATCCTATAACTTTTCATGCTGATAGCTGCCAATTAACACGAATGCTACAACAAATTTATCTGGGACTGCCCTTTCTAATCTGTAAGATTTGCTAAATTGGTAGCAAAGTATTGCAAAACCTGACACAATATCATTTCACTTAGCTATATCATGTAATACCTGGATGATTGAGAATAAGAGATATTCTGCAAGGATTTTTCTCCATATAGCCTAACTTCTGTCTTTAGGAAGTTTCTACACTCTGGTATTTGAGCTACAAGCTCACCTAGCTATGCAATTTATTTGAGAAGCCAGCAATCGTGTAAGTGTCAGCATCTTGCATTGGAAAAATAATGTTTTGGCAGTGAGCACTTACAACTAGGTTCATACATTACTCACACTATAATTTGAGTTTTGCTTAATATGTTAGGAAACCCAGTTACTGTGGTTTGGTGAATAAGCATTGTCAAGCAAATCATGAGGAGGTAACCCCATCTTATGCTCCAAATGTGAAAGCTCTGCTTCACTTGGTGGAACTACAGAATAAGAGATGCTTGTAGGATTTGCATACATTGCCCTCTAGGAAGTTGGTTCTATTTTTCCTCAGATAAAACAATATATGCTTAAGTTAGGTACATACATTTACAAGATTGTATTCTGACAATCTCATATATTAGTCTATGTTTTTGTAAAAAGTATATGAGTAAAATAAGATGTTTGTTTCTGATCTTGTTCATGCTCTTTCAGAGTATAAACAGTGATACTGCTCTTTTTATTGAAGTTAGTTATTTATGGTTTTATGTTTCCAAAAAAGTCAGGTTCATAATAAAGAATTAAATGCTCACACTTCACTTTTCTGAATAAAAGAAAAACTCATAATCTTTTTATGTCAGTTGTGTCTCTTATTTGTGACAAAATAGGAATGTGAAGTAAACACCAAAGTATTTTCTTTATGCATTAAGGAACTGTAACTAAGACAGGAAGTGGCAAATACAAGTCCCTGATACTAAAAATGACTGTTAGTTGCTCTAATTATAACTGAAAATATAGTAAATGAAGCAGGTATCCACCTGATATTTAGCTGTCTGCTTTTAGTGAATTTGGGGAAATTCTGTAAATTAAATTCAGCCATGCCTAACATTTCTCTTGTTTCACAATACCCACAGTTGCTACAATGTTCTTATTACTAGGTTCAAGGACTACCAAAATGTTTTGTCAGGTTTTTTTCCACCTCATAGTTAAAAAGCAACAGTACCATAAAGACTGAATTCATATTACACTAAGCCATGCTTTATTATTTATAATTTACTGAATACAATGGTTTTACTGAACATGATATTCCAAAATCAAACTACATTATGACTTGGAATGTCATGTGAACACAATATTCTAGCATAAATTGTCATGTTGTAAACCAGGCTTCTCCAACTTAATGACCTCTAAATGGTTAGCTGAGAATTATGAAAACTGAATCCTAGACTACAGACTAAGCTGTATGTATCAACTGGTAAGTCGCTATTTTTTAATTTAACTGGAATGCATTTTCTTTCCAGGAAACCTTGGTGTTGTCTCCATCTTAATTGTGTGACAGGTGAATTAGACATTTCAGTTTGTTCAGAAACCTGTGAGGGGATTATAGCTAATTTATCAGCTCCAAGACACCACATTCCTAATTTAACACAGGGATATTTCAAAGCATTTTTACTATGTAGTCTTCTCAGTAGATTTGGAGCATGCTGGTTGCCATAGTTACTGGGTCAGTGTGGTGGAGAAAGAGGG